TACACCGGCTACATAGGGGATGACTGAGAACCTTCACAGACATCTTGGGCCATTATTGTTTTCACTGTACCTATATGCAGATGACTGCCAGCTTTATTTACCTTTTAGTCATTCTGATAGTCTCCCAAGTCAACCTCTGCTTGACTGCCTTAGTGATGTTAAAGCATGGATGGCAAAAAACTTTTTAAATTTTAATGATCGGAAGACAGAAGTGATCTTATTTGGCCCAAATCGTTTTTCTCATGCTCCAGATGTTGATCTTGCAGCTTTGACTTCCCAACTAAAGAGTTCGATCGCAAACATACAGCTGGTCATCTTCACTTACCTTTGATGACCACATAAACGGGGTGGTAAAATCAGCATTCTATCACCTCAGACGTTTAATGAAGGTTAAGCCCTTTCTTTTCAAGAGTGACTTGGAAAGTGTTATTCGTGCCTTTATTACTTCACGTTTAGATTATTGCAATTCTCTTTTAATAGGGTTGCTGCGGCACGATTTTTAACTGCGGCATGATTTTTAACTGGCAGAAGGAAATTTGACCACATCACTCCGATTTTGGCCTATCTACATTTGGCTTCCAATTGAATTTAGGATCCGTTTTAAAGTCCTTTTATTGGTTTTTAAATCTCTAAATGGTCTGGCACCTGTTTATTTGTCTGACTTGTTGAAGCCCCATGTCCCCATTCATTCCCTTCAGTCAGCTGAGCATTTGTTGCTTTCAGTCCCAAAGTCACGACTGAAACTTAGAGGAGACCGAGCGTTCTCTGTTGCAGCGCCGATGCTTTGGAATAACCTTCCTCTCCATATTAGACAGGCTTCATCAGTGCCAGTTTTTAAGTCCTTATTAAAAACCTATTTTTATTCCCTGGCTTTTAACTCTGTGGGTAACTTCCCTTTTTTTAATTTTATTGCTATGTCTGGTTTCTGCTATCTATTATTATATTTATATTTGTATTGTACAGCACTTTGGTCTACCAGGTGTGTTTTTAAAGTGCTATATAAATAAATGATGATGATGATGACAGAACAGGAAGACTGCTGAGCGAAAGGTAATAGTAAAATGAAAATTTCTGTCCATGCAGACACATACACATATATTTTTCAACAATTTATTTTAATTAATTGCTGTCATATCAGAAACAGACTGGATGCAATTGGCAACTTGACCCCACTCAATTGCAGACCGACTGTGCCTTATGTCAACATTTATGGCGTCTTTTAGTGACGGGTTGGTAGAAATAACTTTATTTAATATATGTTACTGCAATACTAAGTATAATGCAAAATTCACAATAATATCACTTTGTGAGTGAAGTATTGTGATAATATTGTATCAGTGATTGAAAACGTCATTATCACGTCATTTTGTGTGTATTTGTATAACTGGCATGGGGAAAAAATATAAAAAAACTGAAACCTTATTTTGGGGCAAAGTCAACAAAGATTTCAAGTGATTTTAAACCGATTTGATGACTTCAAAATAACTGCTCAAGTATCTGGGCAGAGACAATGTTCCTGCTGATTGCAGAGACTTGCTACTTAAATGACTTTGCTGTCCATTCAGACCTTTAAGCAAAATTCTAAATTCTGTTACTTAAGCACAAAAGTGTTTGTTCGGCTCTTGTGTGACATTGTAAAGTTGAATCTAACATGTACTTTAAACACCAACAAGAAACGCCGTATAACAAACAGTGTTCTTAGCCTAACTCTTGACGTTAATGTTTTGCAGCTGCTACACTGACAGAATTTTCAGTCCTGAATATTGTTTGTATTAGGGTAGGCAGGCTGTGGATCGTGACCTGGGGGGGGGGGCTTGGTGGGGTATGATGCATCAGAGAAGCACAGTTGTCCCGGTAACCAGGAATTAGTAGACTTATGTTTGTGTTCTCGTGTCACAGCACTCACTTCCTCAGCACGGCAATCTCATTCTCGATGCTGCTCTCCTTCCCCTTCAGAGCCTTCTTAGGGATGCATTTCACTGCAAACATACGGCTGGTCAGCTTCTCCTGGGCCAAGACCACCTCTGAAAACGCCCCTCTGTGAACACATGCAAACTCATGTGAGTCACGAGCAGACTTGTACATTTAAATATATATAAAAGACTGAAACAAAGGTCAATAATTTCAGTGTCAGACAAAATGTATCTGAATATTTCTTATGTATCTCTTACAAAGACAAGCATGAAAAAACATAGATTACGTATTTGAGTACAAAGTTTTAATGTTTATCAAAAATATACTCCAGTTAGCACTTCCGCTTGAAATCAATTTTGGAATCTTCTGTCCGCTTTATTTTATATAATAATGAGCAAACTGTGTGTCCATCCAATAAAAACAGTACTTTACAAAAAAGCAAAAAGATTTAAAAATAAGTGAATTCAGCTAGTTTTCCTTTAAGATTCCATGTGCAGCAGGTAAAGTCTGATATTAACAGGCGGAAAATTACAATGAGATTGGATCTGCCAAGTGTAACGTGAGAGCACTGGCATTTTATTTTTTTTATTAGCTCAGAGCAAACGAAAAATAATTTAAAAGTTTTGTGTCTCATTTTATACACACAGA